ATATTGAGGAAAATATGCAAAAAGAGACTCGATCACTTACGCCTGGATTTGCCCATGTTGCCAGATACTACGTCAGCGCCGGGATTCAAAAAGTCAGGTGTGGTGGCGGCCACTCCTTGTTCGCGAGCGTCGATAGCGCATCTATCGGGTGGAGTGGGAAAAACTGGTTCTGAGGGCCAATGTTCATCGGCCTCGAGTACGCGGCGAAGACCGCCGATACTCGTCTCTAGACTACGGCCTGCTGGTCCCGACATCGGCTGAATTCCAGCCAGCCTGAGCTGGGGCAAGGATCCGGCCACACCTCGAGTGACACCAGCAGCACTAACTAGAGGGCTCAAGCGAGAGTTGTCACCGGCGTCCCTTAACTGGCGTCCATGATTGAGTGTCATCTGACCCTGGACTTTATGCCTAGCGGCTTGACCACTGGCGCGCGATTTGGCACCAGGTTTCTTCGAGTGCATGTCAGCTCCGAAGGACGTAGCAGTGGTGGATGGAAGTGACCGAAGCCCCACAGGAACACTTTCTTTGCTCGAGGGTAGATCGGCCGATTGTGTGTTGGTAGCCGCATCAAGCAACGAATTTAGTGTGGCCCGACTGGCGAATTGGGTCGTGGGGAGGTGTCTATCTGAGGTCCCGGCGCCTGTGTCCTGAAACGACCGAACTCGACACTCGGACTGAAGGCTCTGCAGCAGAGGTTGCGAGATGGCTGCGCTCTGCAAGAGGGCAGTAGGTGATAGTCCGTCAAGCAATCTCGAAGCCGACTTACGGTCACCAAGTTGTGAAGATGTGACTGGCCTGAGACTACAGGAAGAAAGATGGCTTGAATGGTCCGTACTGGTTATTTGTCGCGAGGCTAGTTCTAAGGCACCTTCTTCACACTCTGCCAATGGAGCTCTGCTAGTTAGCAACTCGTGGGATTCTAAGCCGAATGGAGATGCAACTGCCTCTTCGGTGATTGGAGAAGGATTCTCGGGCAGCCCGCGAAGCCACTTGAAGACGGCCAACTTATCTGAAGTGAGTAGACTGTATCCATGTCCTAAACGAGGATGCAAGAAGAAAAGGGTGAGAGGCCGATTAAGTAATTTGCATCAAATTCAGAATAATACTTCAGAAATGGATTTAATTCTACGCACTTTTGTCCGAAAAAGTATGTTGGTGAACGATACTATCATGGGAAAATAAAATTCGTCTATATATATAGGTTTGAAGACTAAAAATAGACCGATTTTGGAGACGAAATTCTTGTCAAAAGTACGCTTTGACAGGCGATTTTAGTTTAGAGATTAATTTGTCAACGAAAAAAGCTTGAGATGCTGTGCCAACATCTGAGAAAAATTGGTCTCTCAAAAAAGAACATGCTATTGTACATGTGAACTGTATTAGACAACATAAAATAATCTGGTTCTGGTTTAAGAAATCCGTCGTATACCTCGCACATTGAGCTCATTATTTTTTTATTCCATCTGTCCTTTCAATACCTCAATGTTAACAATTCCAAGCAAATTCAAGAAGCTGAAATTTGTTGATGCTTGCCTTAGGGGCACGATTGCCAGACCTTGATCCAGATTAAAGAAAGCAAATTTTGCATTTAAGCTCTTACTAAGAGTGGCATATCTAACTTTTGCAGAACAGCAATAGTGATGTGAAGCAAAAGAAAGCATTTAAATGAATAAAATATAAATTACTAATTATTTTGC